CTGCTTCCAGCGCGGTCACCTTCCGCAGGGGACATCCCAGCGCTGCAGCGGCAGAGCCCGAAGCGCCTGGAATGCGCGTGCTGGAGCCCTGTGGTGCAAGGGGGGGCTGCAATGGTGGGGGACAAGGGGACACTGCACGAGGAGGGCTCTGGAGGCGGCTGCAGCGAGGCCGCCCGCGCTGGGGTCCTGCCCATGGCAGCACCGGCCACGCTGCAGGATGAGATTTTCCCCCCGTCACTTGTGCCGCAGCCCCCCTCGAACCCAGCAGCTTGTGCCCCCTTCCCCAGGAAGGTGCTGCCGCATCATCTGTCTGTCACCCTCATTGCATGCCCGTCCTGCTCCAAAGTGCTCTGCCGTGTGCCCGTGAGGCCCCAGGATTTATTTTCTGAATGGAGCTGAAAGCGCGTGGTTAAATGGGGGAAATTATATGACTAGCGCTTACTTCCCGAAGTTAAAAATGAATGTAGAGCTCTGTGGGAAACAGTTCAGCGAGGGAAATCTCATGGGCCTCTTTCTGAAGTGACCCGAGTGAGCGGCCTCCATAGAAAAAGAAATGACAGATTCTGCAGGGGACAAACGATGCTCGGGCGGAACCTGGCTCCTGCTCGGTGCCCTGGCCGCTGCTGCGGGGAGCTGCCTGCTTTAGGAAAAGAAAAAACAGAATAACTTGGTGTTTTTAAAAGGTTTTCCCTATTATCATTGGTCTCTCTGTGCAATTCCCTTTTCAAGGAGGTTAGTTATCTTCGTGCTGCTTTGGAGCCTGCTCCCGCGGAGCTCTGAAGGCAATTGGAAAGTAGATGGTACTAAACACTTTTCATCTTTGGTCGCTAAGCGAGACTAGAGACTTGTAGCATTTAGTTACAACCACAGGGACATCTGCTTGACCTGTACAAATGGGGTTAAATTCACTTTGAACTTGCAGAACTTGCACCTAGAACTGACTTGTCTTTTTTTTTTTTCTGTAAAAACTGTGGAAGAAGAAAGGAAAAATGCACAAAACGAGTCAGCCTTGTGCTGGGGAGCTTGTTCTCTTCTTGGGATCTGTCTCTGTGTTAGTGCCTGTGCAAGGCAGAGGCAGCAGCGATGGTGGTTGCTGCTGTATGAGGAGAAACCCCAGTATTTCTATGGTTGCACGAAAGAAGGAAGTAAATATGACCAGGGCTTTGGTGGTGGCTGTGAGATTAGAGGAGAAGACTGAAACTGAGAACTCCTGGGGTCTGTTTATGGCTGTGGTACCAGCAGGGCTGAGAAGGAGGAGGAGGAGGAGGAAGCTTCTGGGCTCGGCCATTGATCCTCCTTGTGTCTCTGGGCTGCTGAAGGTGGAGTCGTCAGAAGTGACGGTGGCTCCTGCAGTTACTGTGTCTCCAGCTAGAGATGTGCTGGAAAAGGTAACTCCTGCGGAGGTCCCGAGGACCCACAGAGAACAAAACCATGAGCTTTGCTGGCTGTAGAGATCCCCAACAGGGCCAGGTAAAAGTAATTTTGGTCTTGTGTGTGTGCTCTTCCTAACTGCATAGCAGTTAGGTTGCTTTCTGTAGGAAAATGAAGTCTTAAGACTAGTCAAGTTTTCTGCCAGTGTAATTCCATTTGAGCCACAGACTTACACCTGCAGTCAACTTACTTCTTAGCGAGGAGGTGGTATCAAAGCCGTTCAGATAAGTATGAAACACCATCGCAACCAGACGCTTTGAAGCTGCAGCAGAGGCAGGATCCGGGGAGCCCGGTGGCGATTGTAACTTCCTTTTCTGTCCCTGCATTTTGTCAGGTGTGCGAGGAGCAGAAGTGTGAAGAAGAGGTCTTCCCCTTGGCCATGAATTACGTGGACCGCTACCTGTCTTCGGTGTCGGTGCGGAAAAGCCACTTGCAGCTCCTGGGAGCGGTGTGCATGCTGCTGGCCTCCAAGCTGCGCGAGACGATGCCCCTCACGGTGGAGAAGCTCTGCATTTACACGGACAATTCCATCACGCCGCAGCAGCTCCTGGTAACCCTCTGCCCCCTCCCCAGCTCCCACCTCCCACGTGCTGCTCCGTGGCGACGTTCCCACGTGTCCCCTGCTCCCTCTCCTGCTCCTCCAAGCGCCTTCCTCCGTGTTCCCCATCCAGCCTTCTCCCTTGCCCCGGTGGATGTCGCTGCTTGTTGCTGGAGCCGCCTTCCCCCCACACAGGCCCTGGCTGCCTGCACTGGGAAGCGGCACCTCCGAATTATCCAGGGAGCTCCCTGGGCCTTGGGCACCGCTCGCCGGGCTCTGGGATCGCTCCCAGCTCGAGTGGCGGCTCCAGGGAACAAAAGCCCCTGCCTTGTCCTGGATCCGTGTCCAGCCGCAAGGCCGGAGTCGCCTTTCCGCATCACCAGGAATACGAAGCGTTAAGCAGAGAGTAACCGGGGAAAAATGGGTGGGAGCTTTTGTGACCCAAAATTCAGCTTGCCGGGTTGTGCTGTCAAGGCTGGCAGAGCTGCCGAAGTGATGAGGTCTGTGAAACAGACTGGAAATAGCTGGAATTGCTGCTGCCCAGGTCCTGCTACAAGGCTTTGAGTTAAACCAGGGCCGCTCGCCTAATAGGGCACTGCAGTGGCAGCTCTCTGGGCTCTGAAAGGCAAAGGATTTTTCTGCTGTTCTATAAAAGCTATTCACAGTGCAGAAAAGATCCAAACCTCTGTGTCCAGCTTTGCCAATGGGGGAGGAAATTGGAGAAACCCGTTCCTGGGGGCTTTCCAAGCTGTTAGATCAGAGCCCTTGGGAGGAAACAGTCACCTCACTTCAAGTAACTAACATCCCTGGAGACGGTTTGTGTATTAGAATTTCTCGGGGTTAATCATCACCCCATTAAATACAAATGCTTTTTTTTTTTTTTTTTTCCCCTAAACTGGGAGTGAGTGAGAAGATCTGAGTGTGATTCATCCCCAGGGTGGGGAATGAACCCACAAAACTTTCAAGTGCGAATCAGAAAGCAGTTCTGATCACCGGGGAACTCTAGCATGAGTATTTCCAAGTGCCAACAGAGACTGGGGAAAATCCCCTCACCTCCCTACTGCTTTCCCTGTAGTTATTCGTATGTGCCTGTTGACTAAGTAGCAATCATGAAAAATGTAGATGGTTTATTACCCTGAAAAATGGGCCGCAGTAGCATGCTCTTGCTCCTGTGTTTCAATCCTCTGTTTCCCTCTCAGATCCAGACTTAGAAGGGGATCCTGCTGTGGGGATCCTGCACTCACTTGCTTTTCTGGGCACAAATTAGTGGACAACATCACAGGTTCTGATGGTTCTGCAGGCTGGGCCTTTGGCTGCAAGGAGTGGGCACGTTGTATGCCTTTTCCATAGCTCCTCGATTGGCTTAATTGTACTTCATTATGATTTATTTGTTGGGTTGTCTTGGGGAGTGTGTGTGTGTGGAGAAGGGCTTGTACCTGGAGTTCTCTTTTATTTCTTTTTCCCCTCTCTTGCTAGGCTCTTGGGATACTTAGCGCAATGTAAAGCTGAAGCATTAGCACACATCCCTCCTCATGATGCTTCGGGGTGATGCAGCTGGAGTGAACAAGAATGACTTCGTTTTGGGGCCAAAAGCCATTCTTGGGGTAGCCAAAGATGGCTTTTCAGGCAGATAAGATCACTTTCCTTCCCAAAGCAATGGTCACGAGCTGTCAGCGTCCTGTTAGCTTGAAGCTGTGGAGTCTGGTCACTTGTGCTAGCCAAATGATGGGGCAGAAGATGGACCAGGTGCAGCCCTTACATGAGACATGGAGTAGAGGAGCCCAAGGAGGGCTGTTCCAGTAAATGTGCTCTGTAGGTTGTGACCTGGAGGTGGCGTTTCCCAGCCCATGTAGGGCTTGTTTAGCACGTCCCACCTTGCTGGCCCTTTGCTGTCTGATCTAAAGAGAAAGCGGAGGTAACATCTGAAGATACTTGAAAGGTTTGTCTTCACTTGGGGACCCACCAAGAGTTAATATCTTGATTACAAAACCAGGATGAGCTGCTGTTTTCCTCCTCTGTGCTAATCGTGGTAATATTGCTTCTCTTCTTTCACAACCTTGCAATGGAAGAGGGTGGGGAGGGAAAGGGAGCTTCTTCATTAAGGTTTGGACAATGGTACATCCTGGCGTCCTCTCCTGGCTCGGTGCTATTTCAGCTCCCAGCTTGTCCTTTGAGGCCTTTTGGAGGAAGCTGGCTCACTTTTTGAGCATCCTTCTCTTAAGGGATGCTTGGCAGCAGCCTGGAAAGGGTGCGTTAAACAAAATCTTGATGGAGTTATTCTGGGGAGAAGGAAATGATGCAACAATGGACTTGTCCATTGGAGGAAGTTGGATTTCCGTCAAGGGAGTTATCTAACCTACCTTTCCTTTTTCATAGAGGCTTTTCTGGCCTGTGCAAGAGGGTGTTTAGCTGCTTGAGGGTTGAGGAGAGCAGTTGCTGTAAGTCTCCTTCATCTTTGGCTTGTTAGCAACTACCTGGTTTGTTCCTAATCCATCGCCTTGGGACTGTGAGAAGGGGTAGTTGTTGAGCAGGGATGTTTGCTTGGGATAGAGCATTGACTTCCCAGTAAGTGCATTGCATGGATTTGGATTTCTGCTTGTTGCCTAGGCAGGATGGTTATGACCATTGCCACTTTTGAAGTTGACATCTTTGTTTGACATTCATCTTGAGGTCTGCTTGGGGAATGGAAACAACCGTTTACCCCAGGTTTCTCCTCTGCAGAAGGGCTTTCACGGCTGCTCATTTCTGTAGCTGTGTCTCGGATGCTGGGTGGGTTGGGTGGCCGTCGGCAGCTCTTTCCACCCTCCTTCTGAGTCAGCTCACGAGCTCGACGGGTGCAGCCTGTTCCTGCTCCGCTACCGTCTCATCGAGGCTGCGATAATGTAAAATGGCACCTTATCAACTTGGGTGACAGAATCGAGCGCCACTTCCTTTCCCCGGCGGCGCCGGGGCTGCTGCAGGGAGGGAGCTGGGCTCCTGTGCAGCCTCCCCGCGCGCGTCCGTGCGGGCTCCTTGTAGAGCCCCATGAACGGAGCAACGGGAACCTCGGAAAGCCGCCGTGTCCGTCACATCCCGGGCTGGGTCTCTGTTCACGGAGTCCAACCGGCTCCGCGTGTGAGTGGGCTGCAGAATGAGCGGGGACCCCAGCCAGGGCAGGGGGCTGTTCCATGGCAAGAGGACTGTGCTCTAAGATCACACTAAGAGAGGAGAGGTAATAGGGAATGGTGATCACTGCCTTGATGCTTTTTCTTATTATTTTTAAGTTGCGTGGCATGCAGCTGGGCAAGGGGACAAGCCCACAGTGAGGAAACTCAGCTAGAGAAGTTCCTACTGCTCGGTACCCTGGCATGGGGATCCTACAGCCCTTGGAGCGGATAGGATTCCTGTGGGACACTCTGCAGCCTTCCAGCAGGAGGGTGGGATCCACGGGCTCAAGAAACAAAGGAGCAATTTCTACTTTTTTCCTCTCCTTCATTAGCCAGGCAGCGACTGATTCAATTAGGTGCAAAACAAAATGCCAGGAAAAGGATGTTTGCTGCAGAGCGGCGCTGCTGTCGCAAACCCGCTCGTCTCTTGCAGCCTTTTGTTCTGCTTCTTCCACAGATAAAGTGGCTCAGAGACTCTGAGAGCACCAAGTCCTGGGGCTGAGCAGGAGCCGGGCGAGGAACAGGGCTGCTCGGCAGGAGGCTCCTCCCTGGGTAAAGCCCTGGGAGCTGCTGATGTTCCTCAGCTCCTGCCGCCTTCCGCAGGCACCACCAGTGCTGGCCGGCTCTCAGAATCAGCCCTGTTACAGGGAGGGTTTTCAAGAACATGATGAACCTCCGTGTTGTCCCAAGAGCCGTGTCCCTGTCCCAGGTGGATCAGTGCCGGGGTAGCTAAAGAAGCTGGGTCCCCATCCAGTGACACAGGTCCTGATGGGGCTGGCTCTGCCGCAGGATCCAGCATGGGCATCACCTCTCCTGTCGAGGCTGCAGGATCCTCTTGGTGTGTTTCAGCTTAGTGACAGGTAGGGACAGAGTCTCCCCCTCCCTTGGGTCTTTCCTTGTGTCACCTTGCAGCTACTTCAGTTTAAGCAGTGGCCAACGCTGGAATTTTCCTGCTTTTATCCATGCTCATCTCCTCCTCTTCTCTATTTCGATCGCCCTGTTGTATCACACACCCCAAACAACCCATGCCGTGATCTTGAGGATCTACAGTTTATTGTTAGGTTTCTTTCTGCTTTTTACCCTTAAGATAATTTGGCTTAAAGATATAGAAGGACTAGCGGGAGAGAAAGCAGGCTGGCCATCCATATGGGAGACTAGCAACTACGTTCCAGCAAAACACCCCTTGCTGGTTCAAAAAGTACAGGCTGTGGAGTGGCAAAGAGTGCATTGGGCCTGGTAGGGGGGTTGGAACAGGTTGAGCAACGCTGTTCATTTGAGCAACTCGGAGCTGGTTTTGTTGTGTAAGGGGAAAGAGGGGGGTTAAAAAAAGAGAGCGCAAAAATGGAGACCTGCCCTTATGAAAAATCAATCTCACTTCTTCAAATTTGTCTCTTGTACTCCCTGAGCACCTCGTGGGCAGAATTGACCTTGTAATTTTAGGCTGCTGGACAAAAGGGAGATATCCTGCAGGGTAGGGCTAGGCTTAGGATCATGGTCATGATCAGAGTTTGGCTTCATCTTCCCCAGGCCGTAGCTGGGGGATGCTCAGCCCTGCCACGTGGCACTGCAGGGTGACACAGGGATGTGTCACCCCAGAGCAGGTGGCACGTGGGGGTGTCCTGCAGTGTCCCAGCTGCACCTAGGTACCAAGACCCGATTTGCTGCTTTTCCAGGGAATGAGGCTGGAGAGAAGCCGCGGGCTGTGGCCCCGGGTGCAGGAGCTGGAGACCCTGAGCACATCTTGGGACCCGGGGCCAACAGGGAGGCTGGAACGCTCCGTGTGCGCTGCCGATGGCATTCCCCTTGGATGGGGAGAGCAACGCTCCTGGGAATGTGCCGTTCTCCTGAGCCTGCTCCATCAGTGACGTAGTCGTGTCCACACATTGAGGAGGTCAAATCCTACAGTGGGATCACGGGGCTGCTCCTTCCTTCTGCTTTTCCAAGGAGTGTTTTGCTGCAGGCCTGTGCAAACTGCCAGGGCTTCCTGGGCGTTCGGGGTGGCTCTGCCGAACGCCGGCCCTCGGCTGTGCTGGGCCTTGGTTCACGTGCTGGATTTGGGACCAAATCCTGGTGTTCCAAGAGCCTGAGCAGATGAGAGGAGCAGCCCTGGCCCCATCTGAAATCAGCAGGCTCTTCCTGCCATCTGTTCCCCAGCTTGCATGGGCACCAGCCAAGGGAAGACACTACAGAAATAACTGTTTTTAGGCAAAATAGCTCGATGTGGGACAGGGACATCTGCAGCCACCTGGCACGTGTCCTGGGAGGAGCGCGGAGCCATGTGGGTGGCTGGGAGAGGTGGATGCAGAGGGGCCTTTGAGAAGCTGCACGCGGCTCTGAGCTCTCTTGGCAGAGGAGAGGTGTGATGAGCGGGACGTGCTCTGCCCATCTGCCAGCCCGGAGCAGGAGGGTGCTCTGTGCCTGGTGTCTGCCGGCTGTCAGGCTTGCGGCCTCCCTGCTCGGCACCCAGTCGTGTCCCCAGGCTCGCTGGGAATCCCGGATGTCGCTGCCAGTGACAAACAGGAGCTGCTCGGAGGCAGCCCCGGACGCTCCTGTTTCCACCTTCTCCTGGTTCCTCTCCTGCAGAGGGGACCTGCTGCAGCCACCTACTCCTTTGGGCATGGAGGAGGATGGGAGCAGCCTCCCCGCTGCTGCTCGGACTGGTTTTTCTCCCTACGTGGGCTGCTCAGTAGCCTTGCAAAGCAGAGGAGCCTTGAAGGCTGATCCCACTGCACCTCGGAAAGGAGAAACCAGATCTATCACTTCCTCTTGTGATCTTTACTCCCAGCTTCGCAACAGCTCAAGCTTGGATTTGTGCCATGATCACAGAGCAGGGACGTTCCCTCTTCTGGCCTGTCTCATAGATTGCACTGTTTGACCGGCCCGGATAAGCTCTGTGCTTATCTGCCCTTGGATCTGGTGTGGGTTTCTGGTGGGCCTGGGCCAGCTGAGTAACATGTTGTGTCTCTCTGACCGTGCAGGACTGGGAGATGCTGGTCCTGGAGAAACTGAAGTGGGACCTCGTGTCCGTGATAGCAAACGACTTCCTGGCTCACATCCTCCACCACCTCCCACTGCCAAAGGACAAGATGGAGCTGGTGAAGAAGCATGCACAGACCTTCATTGCCTTGTGTGCCACAGGTGGGTGACTCTGCTGGGGCCGTCCTGCCACGGCGCGTGGGGAAGGCAAGGACAGGTTGAATCTGTGCCCTTAGCAGCCTCGCTCTAAGTCACTAGAGCAGCAGTATCTTTGGGGCTGCTTCTGCTGAGACAAGTAGCTTAGTGGAGCCCGCAGCTCTGATCTGCAGCCTGTCTTTCCTGTTGCTTCACTCCATTTCTGCCCGCTCGGTCCAGCCCTCGCTACTTTTCCAGGGAATTCAGTCCCAGGTTGTCATGGTGCGCACGCGTCCTTGCTAACGGCTGATTTTTGCCTCTTGTGTCCCAATTCCAGATTACACTTTTGCTATGTACCCGCCGTCCATGATTGCAACAGGCAGCATTGGAGCCGCGATGCACGGCCTCACGGTTTCCCTGAACGATTTCAGCGGGGAGGCCATCACGGAGCTGCTGGCCAGCATCACGGGCACCGAGGTGGTGAGTGTCCCCAGGGCGCCGCAGAGCAGCCTGTCCTCCCTCTGCCCCGTGTTGTTCTGGGGGGACACGTGTTGTTCGCAGCGGTGCTGAGCCCGGTTTGAGCGGCGCCCAGGGGTCGGGGAGCGTCTCCAAACGCAGCAGTGGGTCCTGGGGTGAAAACCTTGCCCAGGCCCCTTGCTGGGCTCTGCTCTGGCTGTTCAGCTGCCTTTGAAAAGCACAAAGGGAAGCTGCTGTTGCCCGAGCAGACAGGTGTCGGCGGGATCGGGTGGACGCGGTGGGATGGGAAGCCGGGCTCAGCATCTGCTCATCCCGGCTGGTGTCCGGTTACCCGCACCCGAGCGCTTGGCTGGGGATGTGGGGTGGCCGCAGGGATCTACCTGTCCCTCCTCTGCCCTCCTGCTAGGAAAGGGGGCCACAATCAGAGCCCCAGTCTCCAGGTTGCTGCAGTGAAGAAATCAGGGGCCTTTCTCCTGCCGAGGCCTTTTCTGGCCCGAAAATCCGCTCTTTTCTTCTCCCCGCGCGCTGGTGGAGCAGCCGTGCGCGGGGTCGGTTACAGTCCCCCGACAGCAGCGCTGGGAATTGGAGGAGGCTCCTGTGCTGCGGCGGGGGGGCCTGGGCTGGCACTGTCTGGGCGAGTGGAGTGGGGCCGCCTGTTCTCTTAGCACGGGCTGTTTTATTTATTTGTTGTTTGGGCCTTTTTTAAGGAGGGAATCGGCGCAGCCAGCTGCTCTCAAGCTGCTGCGGTGAGTGGGGCAGGGGCTGCAACCTGCCCTGGGAGCAGAGCGGGTCGGAGCCGGCGGAGGGACAGGTGGGAAGCAGGGAAGGGAGCTCAGGAAGGTTCCCTTCCTCCCGCCCTCCTCTTCCTCTC